GTGGTTCAAGGTATACCTGAAGTGGCCCGAGCTGTCATTCACATTGACGAACAGAGCGGCAAGAACAAGTACAAACTCCTGGTGGAGGGGGATAACCTGAGAGCTGTCATGGCAACGCACGGAGTGAATGGAAGCAGGACCACTTCAAACAATACGTATGAGGTATCAGTCAAGGGAGATTTAAAGCCAGTGGTGTAGGAGCTTGGATTAAAGCCCTCCATGCATACTTCTTTTGATTCCACATCTGCCCTACATCTCTCACATGAATTCTTAAACTGAACTGATACCCATGACAGATTGTGTGCTGCAGGCTGACCCGCTCTGCATGGGTCGCCTTCACACCTAAATCAATAAATAAAATGTAGGCCAGGCAATTTGAGAGAGATTGCGTTTAAGCAGCAACCTACTTTTTATTATAGTTTTAGTAACTGGGTGATTTGGTAAAGAATAAAGGTAAACAATAAATAGGTAAACATGTAGTCACACAGGTGTATTGTGCTTGTTTTTATAGTTTAAGTACACCCAATAAACAGTTTCAGAGGTGTCCTGTTTGAATTTTACTGTCAATTTGGAGGCTGCAGTTGGTTTTGATGTTAAATTGTATTAACATTGTTCCTAGGTCCATGATATCGTGCACGGATTATGGGTGGAATATCCTGTTGTTCCTTTTACTGAACCGGCGTTCGTAACTCAGATGTCCTCCTATTTCTTCGTTCTAAATGATGTGGGAACACCTCTCGCTTGTCACACCTTAAAGAGTAGCTTAACACCAGGCTGACGAGCTGTATTTTCTTGCCCCCTCAAGTCCCCTTTTAACCTCGGGCCACACCCAGCTTCATAGATTGGTCATGTACGTAACCACACTCAGTAATGTCACTGGGTCCTGGAGTACACCTGTACATCACTGCAGCAAGGTCAGAGGTTAAATCACTGGAGGATCAGGGTGGTAAGTTACTCTTTACTCTTCCTACATTGATAAAAATGGGGCTATCAGAATAATAGTAACCACTCTTAGTATAAAATTATACAAACTACAGCCTCCAAAATGGCCAATAAAGTAAAATCAAAACCTCTCAAAAGCAGTTTCAACAAAAAGTGGACATTATAATCTTTATCAAGGCAGGATTTATTGTAGGGCTATTGTTTTAAACTGCATTAGTTTTAGGTAGGTGCACCTAATAAACTAGACAAGTGTATGTTTGTTAACATGTCAACCAAATTCCATCCACACTTGTATATGGTTTTCTAAAAGTTCACATGGAAACAACCTTCCTCCTGATTTGGTTTTGAAACACCCAAAATTGTGCCTTTCATCCTGTGGTGAGAAATGAGGAGACAGGCTTGATAAACACGGCCAGACCCCCCACTTCTTCTCAGAAGCCACTTCCTGTTGTGTCGGACTCTCTTTGATTTGCATTTCACAGCCTCATTGATGTTTTTCTCATGTTTCTCTCAGATGCTGGAACAAAGATAAAACTAATGATTTCATAGCAGGTCAAAAGCAGTCAAAAACAGGTATTGCCTGGGATGCTTCACTGAGGCCAAACCACTCTCAGATCCACTCACTGTTTTATACTTGTGCTGTCAAAGGACAACAGAAAGATTTGTCCATGACACACGCTGTGATACTAACAGTTGAAATGAACAGAGAATTGCAAGTGGCAGAAGTTATTGTTGCTGCTACATTGAGCAGTCAACCATGTCTGCAGAGGTTGGCAGTTGATTTTATATTTTATTTAATGCAATGTGAGACCTGCATGTGGAAGTACATGTTAAAATTAAGCTCAGTATGCATTTTGAAATGTATCCCATTTCGATTATAAATAATTACAAGTCAAACCTTTGCAGTCGAATACAAAATGACTAAGGGTGTGAGGGTATACAGAAGTCCTTGTCTTATCCACAACTCTCTCATGGTGGACATGTTCCCCACAGTGTAGTGGCTGTGTGGTCACAACAAAATGCCAGTACACAGATTTTCGCAGAGCCTACACAGACCACAGCAGACTCTCACGGACACAGAAAGTATATACATGAATCACTGCAGCCCTAAGAATGACCTTACCTGAACTGAAGTTGCCATGTGAGTGCTTTATTTATTGACTGGTTTCCAGGTTGAGAAGACCTTAGGTATCGAGGCTGCTAGATCCACCATCATCAATGAGATTCAGTACACCATGGTGAACCACGGGATGAGCATTGACCGGCGTCACGTCATGCTTCTTGCAGATCTCATGTCCTACAAGGTATGAGTAGAATAATACAATGCATGTCTTCGTAGTGTTTGTGTAGCTGGAGGTAATTTCACCTGAGTGCACACTGTCTCCTGTTAATTAAGGGGGAGATACTGGGAATCACCAGGTTTGGTTTAGCCAAAATGAAGGAGAGTGTCCTCATGCTGGCCTCCTTCGAGAAAACGGCTGATCATCTCTTCGACGCTGCCTACTTCGGACAAAAGGACTCTGTCTGTGGTAAGCTTAATCTCTGTAATGAAATTGAACTTTCCTTTTTGACGTAATTGGGTCTTAACATTTCCTGTGTTCCTGTTTCAGGTGTGTCTGAGTGCATCATTATGGGGATTCCAATGAATATTGGAACAGGACTGTTTAAACTCCTACACAAGGCTGACAAGGATCCCTCTCCAGTCAAAAGGCCTCTTCTCTTTGACAATGCAGACTTCCATATACCTCTGATCACATAGCAATGAGGAATGTTTTCATGTTTTTTTTTTTTTTTTTTTCAGAACCTTAAGACATCTTAAGATTATCTCAATATAGAAGTGCCTGCCAGAGTGTGAGATTTCCTTTTGAAGGATCCAAAAGAAAATAGGATTGTGTCTTGTTTTAGTTTGGCATGACGTTGCTGATGCCACAAAGTGTGAGAACGCTGCATTTCATTTTACAAAGCAAGTTTGTAAGATGATAGATGACATGTAAGAGATAGCAGAGTTGCTTATTATTTCAGTTAAAATCTGGTAAACTGAGAATACAAAATACTTTAAACTCTTGTTCTTTACTGCTTTTCTTGCTTTTTTTACTTGTTCGTAAAACAGTGTTTGCCCTCTATTATTAAGATGTTACATTATCTTTTGTTCCCTCATTGTAATGGCACTGAACAGTGTGTAATGTATAACATGCTTCACATAAACACATGTGCAGCCGAATTGAGACAGATTACCTCTTAATCATGAAGCAGACTTGATTTCTTCTGGTTTGGCACTTCGTTTTGCATCATAGTACGAACTAGCAGTGCAGCTGTTCACGCTGCAATACCTATTTCAGGAATTTTCAGTTTGTCTTCTCTCATTTGTTTTGTATTCATACAAGATTCAGATCAGCAGCAGTTCATTGAGGTTGAATTTTTCCATCCTGTATGAAGCCTTTTCATATAATAATGTAATAATGTATATAATGTAATTAAAGAAATGACCTAGAAAATCATGTGAACGTCACTTTCTTCTGTAAATACAGTGATTCAATAGTTAAAAGCCTTTTTAAAAAATGATCACGTCAGATACAATCACAACCTTTGTCAAAGACAGCAGTCAGAATTTCAACTTATCAGACAAATTGTTTGACATATTGACATTTTCAGTCATGCTACGAGCTCTAGAGATGGCAAAATCTGGCTATTGACTGGACCACTGCCACTTTGGTCCAGACTTCAACATCAATGTTATGAATTGTCATGAAATTTTGTACAGACATTCATGATCCCCACTTTGGTGATCCATGGACTTTTCCACTAGTGACTACATGAGATTGATATGTGTGATTTGGACTGAAATCTCTTGACAACTGTTGGATGGATCGGAGCGATGTTGGTGAGCCCTTACCTTCTCACCTAATCATCAAAATTTCAATAAGTGATACTTAGCAAATGTTAGCATGCTAATTAAATTAAAACAAAGCTGTTTCAACATTACCCACAATTTATTTTAATTTTTTTCAAGCTGTGAGAAGCCCCTCTAATTCATTTATGCATTGCATTGTTGGAGAATATAAATCAGCATGCGTACCATTCCCTTTAAGTATACTCCCATTTGTAAGTTCTATGTAACTAAAAACCTGCTCAGAATCAGTATTTGGAATCAGGACACACTGTTGTCTTATTTTTCATTTTTCAGCCTGAACTCCAATAGTGTCACAACATTTGCCAAAGACAGCTTTTTAAATTTGAACATGGACAAATTGTTTCAGGCTATGTAGGTCAGAAAGCTATGAACTTCAGAGGGTTTCAGGCTTATCATTGCATCCCCTATGGCCAATTAAATTAGTGGCTTGAAAAGACTGTGCTGCCACTGCTGGAACCTTTTGTAGCTGCCATCTTCCACAAAGGAGCAAGTTACACATTTTCAAGCCCATGGGTTAGGGAGATTTTCCTGACATTTATAGTATTCCTGTAAAATCTCATACTTAACAATATTATTAAAAATACGTCTTTGTGATTGTTGAGTGTTTAATGCAAAACAGCTTCTCTTTTTTCACTCATTTAACTCACATATGGCTACACAGCCTTTGTCAAATGCAGTATTTAAACTTTATGTTCCATTTTCTGTTTGGTTGGTTTTTGGTTATTTCTCAGCTCAGTAATTACAATAGTGAGTTAGTATCAATTTACACAACAATGGTTATCTGTTGTCAAATCGGCATCAAGCGTCACAGCTGATTTTTTGCAACTAAATGTTTTTTTAGCCATGAACATTTATTACAGAATTCCTGATTTTTAACCTAAAATAGTCATCGGAATCGAGAGAGGGTTATTTATCTTTTTTCACCGCAGTTATACCATATCATTATTTCATTTTATGAATTTCATTATTTCGAGAACATGTAAATTGTGGTGTGTAAGTCCATCAGCAGCCACAGAGCTAACATCACTTTATTTATTGACAGTTACAGTAATACTTGATAGTAAGCTATACATAAGCTCTTCATTCAAAAGAGTGGCATTAATATTCCACATTTGGTCAGAAATTGAATGCAAATGCAACAAGGAAACAAGTTGTCATAGCACACTTTATTCAGTTTATATAGAGCAGAAAGCCTACTGGCATTCTGATTTGCATAAAAAAAGACAAAGAAAGAAATATAATTTAAACGAATGATCATTTGATTTTCAAATTAGCAATGTGCACAGAACTGCGAATAAAAGCCAAGCCAAACATATCATTACAGGACATGTAATAAGTAACTTTAAATATACACCAAAATAATAGCATTCATTTGAGCTGCGTACATCAACATAACAGAAATAGGCCTCAGCACAATTAAGCACATTAATACCAAAACCAATTTTGTCCCTTGTGTGTGTGTATGTGCGTGAAAATGATCTTTTTTGATTTAAAAAGGGTTGAGTCAAAGTCCTGTATGGTGATTTAAGAGCAGTGTTTGAACATTTAACTCTATTTCAAACATTAAGGCATGTGGTCTTCTATTTCATCTTTTACCTGTTAATAACTGCACAGGGCTGTACAGATCCCATTTGCTCAGTTTAGCAGTAAAGAACAAAAATAAATTACATGATATAATACAATCACTGAACTGAAGGAAAAGTGCAAAGCAGTTTCTGCTCTTCTGACAATAAGATGTGTTTCATCATCAGATCTGAGTTCTATTAAGAGGTGATCTCAAGCCATAGAAATGTGTAAGAGTTTGTGTCACTTTAATAAAATAGTTTTGCAATTGAATTAACCTGAACTGAACTACTAGAGTAGAATCACGCTGAATAGCTAACTTGAATACGCATTTAGCATTGCATTAACAGCCAAGGCATCATCCTTGATCATCCTTTGCTTCTCAGTGTTGTCGTTTCCAAAGAGATCCCATAATACCACAGTGGTAACAGTTTGTGCTCGTTTGAGATGACATCGAACACGGTTCTCTCTGACATAAAATGCTCCCTGATAGAGGTTGAATGTCCTGTAGATTTCACAGACATCTCAACAGAAATTCCTTTTTTATTCACACGACAAACTGTTTCGTTGTCTCTCCGTGGGGCCAGATTGCTCCCAGGGCAGTCTTTATAAGAAAACTCTCTTTGGGGAATTCCGTCATTTCGTTCCTGCTGCTCTCCTGACCAGAATGGAATACATGCTCTCACTTCTGGCACTGCAGAGACACATTTTCAAGCTGTTGGACTTGTTTGAGTTTTGAATCGCAACTGTGATAATTGAAGTTGCATCTGACACACCTGCGGCTGCTGATGTCAAGTGCCGGTGATTGACAGCAAACAGGAGAGAGGAACTAAACACCTGAACTTTGAGCAGGTGCCTTTTCATTTGACTTGAGAGGAGCTGTTCGCAGGGAGTTCTGTTTGGATGGTGGAAATTTTTTCGCCTATTATTTCCAGTGAGCTCTCTCCATGCGAGGAACTTGTGGGGCCATTCTCTGCCGAGTGCTGCTTTGAGCCGTTGCCTTCATCTGATTCGAGGAAGGCTTCTCTACTCTGGGGTTTGATGAACTGTACACTCAGTTTGGGAGCCACCACAGCGCAGCGCTGCTGGTTAGGCTTCCGGATGCAGTGGGAGAGGGTAGAGACGCAGCTCTTCTTGAAGTTCTCGTTCATGAAAGCGTACACGATGGGATTGTTGAAGCTGTTGAAGAACCCGATGGCCTGAACAATGGCGATGATCATGTTAAGTGTGACTCCGTCAAATTTCTTCTCCAGGTCATCTGGACACAAGAAAGAGGTCATTAATCAAAGTTATGAACAACATAGATACTTTAAAGCAACATAATGCAACTATTTTACCTTAAAATCACACAATCTTTACACTGACTTATGATAGTGTGAATGTTGCCTTTGTCATTTCATCTGCTCTCACACTATGTAACAAGAGTGTTGGTGTGTTGTTACAGAGAGCTTTACGAAAGAAAAGGCTCCAAGACAGTTGGACGAGTAACTTACATTAGCTGGCTTGCTGTGTCTTGTACCAAATTGCAAAAAAACACCAATTCTTGCACAATGTTGCTTTAAATAAACAGCAATAAGCAAAAACTTGACTTAAACTATGTAAAAAAAATAGTTCCTATTCCTCATTAAAATTCTTACAGACTCCAACAATACTTACAGTACTCAAACAGCATGTGGACTGTGTGGAAAGGGGCCCAGCAAATGGTGAACAGTAGAACAATGGTTATCATCATTTTAACGGCTCTTTTCTTTTTCCTGTGTTAGGTAAAAAAAAAAAAAAAAAGTAAAGATGACAGAAGTAGCAGACCAGCCAGACATGTTACAGCAGCAAGGGGAACTACACTATGATGGTACTCTTCCATTAAAGTGTGCTGTTCAGCCATGGCTGTAAGTGAAAAATATTAGGACCCTGGCTATCACACACCTTAATGGACTGCAATCATTTTAACCATTCTTCTCCCCAATTTGGAAAGGCTAACACCCTTGTTCTTTTTTTTTTGTGGAAACAGATTAAAAAGTCCCATGCTTTCCTGAGATTGTTGAGTTTATCAAATTTGAATTTCAAAGCACTTTACAACACTCTTCACATACACATTCACACACTGATGGCAGATGCTGCCATGCAAGGTGCCAGCTGCTCATCAGGAGCGATACAACGCGTCCTATCCTCACAAATATACTATGCTCACCCATACACACAAATTCACATTCATACACCGACTGCACTGCTATCAGGGGCAATTTGCAATTCAGTATCTTGCCCAAGGACACTTCGACTGTACACTGACCCTGTGATAAATAGATAGATAGACCCACTCTACCAGCACAGCTGCCTCTGCTCATTGTTTGTGTTAAAAGCAGGAAACACCTTCAGTTTTCATCACATTCTGAGCACCATAAACAATGTTTTTGTGATATTAACATCAAAGATCTGTGATTATCCTCCTTGTTTCTCCTACTATAGTACATCGCAACCAAGCACACCAATCAGTAATCACACAAAATTACTGTAGGAATCTAATTCTGTGCTATAAAGGGCTATATGGAAGCCCGATTTAAGATTCAGAGATGAACGCAAACACAACAGCTCTATGTGAGCATTTAAGTGTGAAGCAGCTACAGCTTGATGTTGACTTAATAGCCCCCTATAGAAATGTTTTGAAGACGTATAAAAAAAATACTCTGCTTTAAATAATAATTTGTGTCTGTTATGTTTTTTTTAGAAATAGGTGCCAAACACCAAATAATGTTTTTTCACCACAAGTTGTGGATCCTGTGTGGACTCCTTAGGGGAAGGAGTGGGTGTAATTTGCATACTGGAACAAAACTGGCAACTGGTTATAATGTTACAAAATCATGTTGTTTGTACAACTTAAACTTTCCTCTTTAAACAGATTAACATGAACATTTGGAACTTTTAGTGTCTCTAGATAGATCATTCTGTGATGCTCTTATATGATCTTAAATACAGACTGAGGTAAAAACACATTTTTGTGTGGAGGGGGGCTTGTGGACCTGTGTTGCAGAGATTGGTATCATTTCATGTGCTTAAATTAACACCAAACGAGAGAAAAATTACAGCTTTTCTGAAGCCATTGCCCTTTAGTTACCGACATCAACATGGTAACAGCTGACACAACATAAGCATAATTTATTTCTCATGATAACAATCATTGCCTACTTTTAGAGGCCTAAACTTAACAACTTTCATTAACTGCCGGTAGGCAACAAGATGGTTTTTACACTGATGCATCCATTCTGACCAAGTAACCTTGTAACACCACATCATGTAATATATTTCCACTTCATTATGTAATAATGTGTGGCATTTTGTGATAAACAGCATGAAATTGCACTTTTTTATGATGAAAATGTAAGAATAAGGTTTGCATTATGTAATAACCAACAAAAATGGTCCATGTCTTCATCTGTACACATTATATTTTTAACAATTAGGTAATTGGTGCCCCCTTTGATGTTACAGTTAACTCTGATCTTAGTCTAAGTAGCCACATAAAAGCAGTAACAAAATCAGCTTGCTATAATCTTACAAATACAGCCAAACTCAGACCAAATGTCAAATGCTGACCTGGAAAAACTCATTCACATAGGGTTGGCTACTGCAATGTAAAAAATCTAGTAAGTCAACTTTGGCAACTTAAAAGCAAGTGCAGGTTCTTTATCCCCTTCACCACAAGGAGTCACTGGTACAACTACAAGGATGTGATCCCTCACTGGCTTCCCACCAACAACCACGGCCAATTCTTTTGGACCCATATTACCTGGAGACATGATGCTAAGAATACATATTTTTATGTTGTGAAAATGCACAAAAAAATATTCTGTGAGAAACATCTGCTATCTAACCGACCTTGAGATCTTGTTGATCTCCCTGTGGTTCATGGTGTTGAGGACTGAGGAGTCGCCCACCCTCTTGCGGATCCACAACTCAATGCCAATGCGTGTGTAGAGAAACAGCATGGCTGCCAAAGGGAACAGGAAAAGAGCCACCATGATGAAGGTGGTGTATGCCTGCCTGTGACTCAGAGAGCGCCATCTCTCCTGACAGCACACGTGGTAGTGATCATACAAGAAGTCGTACTTCACCTTTGAGATGGAGGGAGAAAAGCTTTTAGTCCTGGAGGAAACATTTTACTCTGTTTCTCTGTGCATTTGCAGCTCGTTGGCATACCCAATAATATCTTAGTATTCATTTCTTAAGATATATAATAATAATAACAATAATAATAATAATAATAAAATACATTGTTTTGTAGCCACTCAGCTATTAGTTTATTATATTTTTCTCATATGTTGTCAGTATAAAATCAGAGTGTCTGACTCAACAAGATTTGTCTGCCAGTCACATGTGAAGCTGAACAGAGTAGGTAGAATATTCATAAAGCAACCACATCAGGCCCACCAAGACAGAGAGACTATGCAAGGCAATAATCCACACAGTAATCTGCCAAATGATCATCATTATCACTTTAGTACCAAGCAGAGCAAACACAATTGGTCGGAAATGAATAAACAAGATTTTACTCTGTAAAACCAGCAACAAAAGTGTCAAACTAAAGTCATTATAAAATGTATCATTTTTGGAAGCCTAATTTAAAAGATTAAAATACCATGTCTGCCAAAACGGCAATGCAAAACGAAGGTCAAGGGGTCCCATCAAGGGGTACCAGACAGACAGCACGTTAGGAACATGACAGTGCCACCGTAATAGAAAAGTACAGGATAGCAGATACAGAGGCCACTGCATGATATTATATAAAACAGTTTTAATATATATGTTCTGCCTTACAGTATATAGTAATTAGTGTTTTAAATCAGTAAAAACTCCTATGGTCGTGCTACTTTGGTTTAAAAAGCAAGTTGATGTTTATCATTATATTAAGTACACTAAGATTTACTTATTTTTGGTTATTAGTCTTGATGTTTACAATTATATGTTCTTCTGTGTTGAATCTGTTTTTTTTTATTCAGCTGTACAACAAGAGTGTGATTTTGCTTTGCAGAACAACTGAAGGAAGCTAATGAAAAGTAGTGGGTTGCTTTGAGGGGCACCACTTACCTCTAGTTGTTGCACAAACAACATTGGTGAGCCCACTATGACTGAGGCGATCCATACCAGCCCTGCAGGATGCAGACAGATACAACATTTATAAACAGACAATATGCTGATATAACATGGTTTAAACAGTGTGCAGGAAATATAGTATTTACAGATACATACAGTAGCTGTGGAAGACATTCAAGGAGAAAACAGCATGTGACTAATGCCGCTAACAATAGTCACAGCAGCTGCACAACTGAATTCATGTTTTCATATAATTAACTAGCTGCCAATCATGTCAAGTATCTGCAAGGTTCCTTGTTTTCAACTCCAACAGTGTGAGACTGCAATACTCTGATTTACCACGGCATGCTGCATGACCTGAAGTTTATTCAAAGTTACAATGCTTTCCTCATTAGCTGAAATATCAGCACTAACTAACATTTTCATGTATTAAATATAGACATAAATCTATTTGATTGTGTTTTGACACACCACTTCAGACGAGGAAACACTGGGTTAAGAGCATATATTTTTCATTCTGTCGCCAAGTTTCACGTGGACAATTTGATCTTGTTCTTGCGCTGACTACCATAAATGCATCACAACTTCCTGCGCACTGGTGGCCTTTAGTTGTTTTTTTACCTCCGCCTCTTAAATTGCCACCACTGACATTTAGTAAAAACGAGGATTATCAGCAGGATTCAAATTTTAAAACACATTTTACAAAACTTCACGACACTCACAACACCACTCTGGTCTGGAGTGAAACCACAGCTTATTTTACAGTTTTCAATTTATTATCAAGGCCTCCAGTGGAAAAAGGCTTTCACTGGGTAGAAATGTCACCATTATTTTGTCTTTACACCAGAGAAAGGGAACAGCATCACAGTACAGTGCAAGTCATGCCCTCCAAATGTGAACATGCTCTTCAAGTTACTGCCTGAATTTGCTTCAAAGTTTTACTTGTTTTTTAAATACACAGAGGACACATTTTTATTGTTTTCCCCATTTTCTTTTCTAAGGTTGCTTTGTTCTGGTGTCTTATAGAATATGTGAAAGTCATCTTATTGATATTTCATTTCACTTTCACACATAATCCAAAAGTAACAGAAAGTTACTTTAATATAGTGATACTTAGATTAGGTTTCTGAATATGTTTCTAACAAGTATCTAGTATTTGTATTTAAAGTTACCCTCCTAACCCTGGCCATTATGCACACATGCCACACATTATTCCACATTTCCTCGAACGCTCACAACTGCTCCTAAAAGCATAATAAGCCACTCTTGCAACAGACAATACCTAGCATCTTGTATGCTCTTTTGGATGAGTACTGCCTCCTCATTTTCAGTGGGAAGACAATGCCCTGGTATCTCTCAATGGCAATGCAGGTCATCGTGAGGATGCCTGTCACTATGGCTGTAGTCTGCACAAAGGGAACTGTCTTGCAAACCAGAACTCCTACAGAGAAAAACAGAGGGATTAAACAATGAGGTAGAGAGAATAATGCATGTCCATTATTATTATTGATCTGTGAGTGGGAACAAGGCGAGCCCTTCCTCATCCTTTTCATCTACACGTGGGGTTCTTGTTGAAATGACAAAACGACCATCTCTGATAACCCTTGAACAGAGTCATCACACACACAGCTAATGAAGCAATGAGCTGAAACCCAGGTGAAAATGTGCACTGTGACCCACATGAACTAATTGTGACCATGTTTTAACAGGAGCACATGCTTTGAGCTGGCCTTCTATTGCTATGATACACTGAATATCAGCTGCTAGGTTCATTTCTATGAAGTGTCCTTGTTGGTATTAGACATGGTGTTCTATATATATATATGATGAAATCCACTTACAGCCATGCAATAATAATCCATCTGTAAAGGGATTCAGCTCTTTGGCGTTTTATTAGAGGTTGCAGAAGAGTTGTTGTATTTTTCCAATTCTTCACATGTAATATAATGCAATAAATTACAGTGACAATGCATTACACTGTAAGGTGACATCACCTCAT